AATGTGTGAGGTGGAGTGGAGTGGGTGACACACAGGCCCTGATTGTAGAGTGGAAACTCAGCTCCTGAGTACCAGTGCAGACTCTCAGTGCTGAACTGCCTGCTGGGGCTGACAAAGAAGGAAAATGGCCCAGTAACAGCCCAATGGGACTGTGTCTCAGGGACAGGTACAGGGAGGTGACAAGAAACAGCAGCATGGCCTGGCCTCACAGCTTCTAGGAAGCAGTGACAGAGGGACTTAATAGCAAAGATTTTCAGAAAGGTCACAAATGAAGACTCTGAAAGCCCTCTATTTGCCTCTTGGATTTGTGTATGCTTTTGACAGCCACAGCATCCTGTGGCAATGTGTTCCACGATTTCATTCAGGACTCCTTGAAAAGCACCTCCCATGCTTTGACTGAGCTGCTAGCCTGGGGATTTCAGTGGGTGCTGCCTAGTGCTTGGGTAGAGAGAAAAATCAATCTTTTTGCTACTTGCCTTGCAGGGAACTGAAGAAGAAGGGACTCTTGAACATCACACTGCTGGCTGAGTCCCATTCAGAAGTCCTGCTCTGTCGACTTCGTGAGATTTGCTTGGCAGTTACCAGCGAGGTGAGAACATTGCTCTGAATTGTCCCCCATACTTCATATCTGGCTTGTAGAGTAGAATATGTGCTTGTTCATCTCCATGTGTGCTCGGGGACTGCCTTCATTTCTGGTTTTAGACCTTCTATTTCCAATGTCTGTCAGCTATCTGTAGGATCTGTGTGTACATGCAGCTGTATTTACTGGCAGGTCCGGTATTTGACGCTTGTCTGTGAGTGAGGTACCATTGTAATGCAAGGCAGAAATGAGACACTAATGACATGATATGCCAGAGTCCCAGTCTCTGCCCAAGCTGTAATTGAACACTGCAAATGAGTCTGTAGACTTGAGCCTGAGTTTTCTGTTTCCTGCCTGAGTCCTTCAGCTACAGGTTTTGCTTTTTGGAACAGGAGCATCTGACTGTTTTATCTTTATGACTTGTGCCTTTATGTTTTCAAAGCAGCCCTTTCTTTCATTTGCTTGTTTTTCAAATAAAAGGGCCTAAAATCAAAGCAGTTGACGTTATAGAAGGGTTAAGTGGAACACTTACATTTCCAGTGGTGCCAAGGTGACTGGATTTGAGATGGTCACGCCAGAAGCATTCTCTATGTGCAAAGGCTGTTTTACAGAAGTTCTGAATGGCAGAGCATGCTAGACATCAGTGAATGTGGGCAAAGTGCATCCTAAGAAGCAGAGAAGCAAAGATTCTAATGTTGAGTGTAAGCAAGGCTGCAAACTAAAATGGGAGAGTTTGCTTTTTCCTGGTTACCTTTGTGGCTGTATCTCACAGCCCTCTCATTCTCAAGTTTTCTGCTCTTTAATATCAGCATTTGTGCAACTTGTTTTCACAAGACTCCTCCTTTTGGTCTGCTGGCCTCAGAGACCAAGTCCTTCAGAGCTGAGTCCTTCCGAAGCCAGGAAGTGAGAAACAGCTGCAATTCCTGGCCATGAGTGTTAAGCAACAGCACATTCTCCCTCCTTGCTGGGTATTGCACATGGTTTTCATTCTCCTGCCATGGCCTGTAGGAACTGAACTGCCTGCTCACTGTCATGTGAGCTCTTCACCTGTCTTGGAGCACTCCTATGACTTTCATGCTTCAAGCAGGGCTTCCTGACATAGGTTGCAGTTGCAGCAGTGTAATGTTGTGGCAGGGAAGTGTTCCACCTCACTGTGTGTAATTGCCAAGGTGAGGACGGGAGACATTCCTCTGAAACTTTTGGAATGGATATGGAGCTGCATGGAAGACTATGGCACTCTGTGGACTCTGTGCTCCTGATGAGATGTTGTGTCTGGTTGGTGTGTCTCTGCTTATAGTCTGTGATGTGTTTCCATTGCACCTAGATCCATGCTGAATTGTACAAGTTGGCTGAGGAGAAAGAGCAGAAGAAAATGGAGCTTTTGGGAAAAGAGATGAAGAGGAGACAAAATGAAAAATCTTTGCAGCTTCCTCCAGAGACAGTTGAGCCTGGGGATGCAGCTAAAGCAAGTAAGTGGTGGCTACACTTGTGGTGGTCCTTTTTGACCACTTGCACAATGTTGCCATCAGACTGGGGGGCTGTTCTGCTTGCACCTGAGTAAGAAGCTGCATTAGGATTTAATTCTGCTTCCCAAAGAAAAATACAGAGACATGAAGTGTCTTGCCCATGGCCTCACTGAGTCAGTAAAAGAATATCAGCTTCCCAGTAAGAAGCTTGCGTTAGGATTTAATTCTGTTTCCCAAAGAAAAATACAGAGACGTGAAGTGTCTTGCCTATGGCCTCACTGAGTCAGTAACATAATATCAGCTTCCCACCTCCACTTGTAAAGTCTTTCAGAGTAGGAAATTCTGTCTTGCAAAGTACACTGGGGCTTCAGCCTCTCTCCTCCTGGAGAGCAGCCTCCAGGGAAGGTGTGGGTGAAAGAATGCTTTTCAACCGGGCTGCAACCTGGAAAAAACAGAACTCCCTTCCTTCTGGTGAAAACTCCAGAGATCCTTCTCCTGCCACTCCCTGCTGAGGAGATGGCACGGGAGAGCTGTACTGAAGCCCCTGGCAGGGCTTCTGTTGTAGCCCCAGGAGCAAGCAGCATTCCCGAATTAATCCTGGCTGAGGGGCTCTGCCTGCAGGGCTGTGAGCGCTGCCCGAGGGCGGCAGCAGGGCCCTCGGGAGGCAGCACTCAGCCCGAGAGCATCACACCAGGTTATCTGCACTTTGGTAACTTCACCTGCCTGCCTCTGGAGCAGGAGAACAAAAGCAAAGGAGGGCATCACACCAGCTTATCTGCACTTTGGTAACTTCACCTGCCTGCCTCTGGAGCAGGAGAACAAAAGCAAAGCAATACTGGGTTTTTCTTGTTTCTTAGGGGAAGCGTGACTGCAGTTTGGTTTTAAACAAGAAGAGGGTAGATTTACATTAGATATCAGGGTGAATTTGTTTTTAAAGGAAGGGGATGAAAAGCTGGCAGGATTTGCCGAGGGAAGCTGTTGTTGTTCTATCCTTGAAGGTGTTCAAGGCCAGTTTACATGGGGCTCTGAGGAACCTGATCTAGATGAAGGTGTCCCTGCTCACAGGGGTTGGACTAGATGGTGGTTAAAGGGGCCTTCCAGCCCAAACTCCTCTGGGATTCTGTGATCACTGTTCCATGTTAGTGTGCCATTGTTGTACTTGAAGTTCTTTGGGACAACAAAGAGATGTTACCCAGCTCCAGCAACTTTTCTGGCCCTTTCCATTGTCAACCTCTCCAGCACTCTCCACTTACAAGCTCCTCTTTGGTCCCTGCAGGCTTTAGCCTACCATCTATCAATGGCACAGCTCCCAGTGTGCAGAGAAAACACCCTGGTGGTGCCATGAAGAAAACGGTCGTGAGAGAGCAGGACAAGGTGCCCATTCTGCCCAGTACACCCACCATCCATGGAGATGGCATAAAGAGATGTTACCCAGGTCCAGCAACTTTTCTGGCCCTTTCCATCATCACCCTGTCCAGCACTCTTCACTTACAAGCTCCTCTTTGGTCCCTGCAGGCTTTAGCCTACTACCTACCAATGGCACGGGTCCCAGTATGCAGAGAAAACACCCTGGTGGTGCCATGAAGGAAACGGTCGTGAGAGAGCAGGACAAGGTGCCCATTCTGCCCAGTACACCCACCATCCATGGAGATGGCAGCTTCCCACACAACTCCTCAGGTAAGCCTTCTCCGTGGCAGCATTTTCCTGAAGGGAATGGAGCACAAAGTGCCTCCTGCCTTAGCCAGCACAGCTGGGATCTTAGGTCCATAGTCTGTCCTGAGAATGAACAGCAAATCTACTTTTGAGTTACTGCAACTTGGTAGTCTAGGATATTTGAAGTCAATGGAAACAGAGGCACTGTCAGGTGTGAAAGGTCAGGTATGGCTGTTCCCTGGTCGTTGCTCCGAGGGGATTGAGCCAGGCCCAGCAGCTTGGTGCTGTCTCCAGGCAGCTGCAGGTCTCTCTCCTCAGGGACTTGCAGAGAGCCCCTGTCCTCAGGGCTGGGGGAAATCAGGGTGCTGAGACAAGAGATGCACCTGAGGGGTTCTCTCCTGGGCCAGCCAGTCCTGCTGTCGGCACTGCCTGGCAGGGAGTGGGAGCACTCGGCCTCAGGAACCTGCCGCTGGCTGTGGCACCTGTGGCCCATTCAACTTTTCCTTCTCATGGATTCATACGGGCTTGAGATGTTTTGTCAATACTCACAATGTGTCCCAAAATTCTACACAGACAGAAGGAGGCCCAGAGATGATAACCTTACAAATGTTAGGTGATATTGGTTGTCTTTTTGATGTCTGGGTTAGCACCCACTCACTGGTGGATGCTTCATTCTCCCAAGAAACAGCAGCATGGCCTGGCCTCACAGCTTCTAGGAAGCAGTGACAGAGGGACTTAATAGCAAAGATTTTCAGAAAGGTCACAAATGAAGACTCTGAAAGCCCTCTATTTGCCTCTTGGATTTGTGTATGCTTTTGACAGCCACAGCATCCTGTGGCAATGTGTTCCACGATTTCATTCAGGACTCCTTGAAAAGCACCTCCCATGCTTTGACTGAGCTGCTAGCCTGGGGATTTCAGTGGGTGCTGCCTAGTGCTTGGGTAGAGAGAAAAATCAATCTTTTTGCTACTTGCCTTGCAGGGAACTGAAGAAGAAGGGACTCTTGAACATCACACTGCTGGCTGAGTCCCATTCAGAAGTCCTGCTCTGTCGACTTCGTGAGATTTGCTTGGCAGTTACCAGCGAGGTGAGAACATTGCTCTGAATTGTCCCCCATACTTCATATCTGGCTTGTAGAGTAGAATATGTGCTTGTTCATCTCCATGTGTGCTCAGGGACTGCCTTCATTTCTGGTTTTAGACCTTCTATTTCCAATGTCTGTCAGCTATCTGTAGGATCTGTGTGTACATGCAACTGTATTTACTGGCAGGTCCGGTATTTGACGCTTGTCTGTGAGTGAGGTACCATTGTAATGCAAGGCAGAAATGAGACACTAATGACATGATATGCCAGAGTCCCAGTCTCTGCCCAAGCTGTAATTGAACACTGCAAATGAGTCTGTAGACTTGAGCCTGAGTTTTCTGTTTCCTGCCTGAGTCCTTCAGCTACAGGTTTTGCTTTTTGGAACAGGAGCATCTGACTGTTTTATCTTTATGACTTGTGCCTTTATGTGAATAGGGTAAAACACTGAGATGTATCCCTTGCCAAGCTTTACAAAAGAAACAGGCTGCATTGCTGGATATTCCACAACTTCACGGCCCACAGCATGTTTTCCCTGCATTTGTGTTTTCCCAGGGCTCTGCAGATTTGGGGATGATTGGGTGGAAAGAGCCTCATCCTTCTGCAGCTCTTTATAGTGGGTGCCCTCTAATGGGTCAGCATGAATTGTCCTTAATTTCTAAATAATTCATATGTAATCTATTACTTTAATCTTTCTCCAAGTAAATTCTGGGAAAGAAATTGAGCATCAGATAGTGCAGGGAGACTGAATTCTTCCCTTTTCCGTGCAGCCAGCCCTTCTGAACAATGCGAACTTTGTGTTTAACTGAGGACAGAACCTTCTGCAGGTGTCTGCAGCAGCAAGGAGAAGCCAGGCTCCTTCCCCCAGCAAGGACAGGGAACAGGCTGTGGCCAAGGCCTGGGCTGCTGCTGCTCCTCCTCCCTGTGCCTCAGGGTTTGCTTTCTCCTTCCCAGGAGCTGCTACATCCCGGCGCGGAAGTGTGCGGCCGAACTCCTCCTGTCCTTGGTGGTGAAAATGGGAGTCACGAAGCTCGCAGCCACACCCAGGGCTGAGAGGCTGGCACAGGTGGCAGGGACATTTGCTCAGGACAGTCACAAGGACACAAGGTAATGATCTTCATTTCACCTCCTAAAAGAGGAAAACCGTTTTGTGTCTGGCTTTAAGTTAAAACCAGAAAAGAGTGGAAACTCTCGAGATCAACCATACCCAATGTGTCTTTATCTCATTCCTCTTCTGCTGAATCATTTTGAGCCTGGGAATGAGCTGTTAAGCCTCAGCCTGTTCTTCTGCAGACCACAGAGGAACTGTATTATTAGGGGAAAAGTGGGGTTTTGAACACTTTGAATATGGGTGACAAAGAGGAAAGGGAAAGAGGAGAAAATGGGTTTACATTCACGTGTAAGCCCCCACAGCACTCTCCCTACTCTGCCCTCAGTAAAGCAATTAAGTGACAATAGTGCTTCTGAAGATAACAGAGTCTTTGCAAAAGAGACTCTAAGTCTCTTAGTAGTACCAAGAAAATTTCCAAATAAGGGCTTTCCACAAAAATTGGGCGACAAAAAGTCACCAGTTGCTTGCAGTTCAGATGATCCAGTGCAGTGGCAAGGGCAGGGTTGTGGAGGCTAGGAGAGGGTCAAGTCTCTGATGCCTGACTTCAGACAAGTAAATTCAACCACGGCTTTTTTTCATCCAGGTGGAGTCCTTTTTAGATGGGTCTTTCAATGAGAAGTCCCAGTCTAGAAGCAGGATGCCATTCCTCAAACAAGCAGTTCCCTTCCATGAGGCTTGGCGTGGCTGATTGTTGGTTTTCTTACCCTCAAAGAGTACCAAGTTTGAGTAGTAAGGAGCAAGACAATTCCTAAGCCATTTTGGTCAACAGGTGTCTCAAGGTGGACTTTTGTCTTGAGATTCCTGTCCTTCATACAGTTTGCTTGATGGACAGCGTGTTTGGTTTATTTCCCCCTGTGCTGCAATCAGCATTTAAGACAGGAATTTGGTCCTTGCTGTCTCTTAATGCCAGTGGCAGAGCCACTTGTACTGTTCTCCTCTGATAACAGGGGGGATTTATTTAGCTCTGTCATGCTCAGCGGTGGCAGGAAAGTGAGCACATGCCTCAGTAGCATAGCTAGCATCTTCCCATGCTCATGGAAGAGACAGGTTGATCCAAGAGGATTATTCCCAGTGTGTTTGTTAAGTTGGGCATCTAGTCTCTAGGGAAGCAAATGAAATGTGAATTCTGGGATGTCTGGCTTCTGTTTTTCTCTCTGTTACTGATTTTCTGGATATCCTTACGATATGCCCCTGTTCATCTGTTCAGATGCATCTGAGCTACTTTTGCAGATTGTCATGCCTGGTTGTAGAGACACTTCTCCAAAGTGATGAGTTTCCTTATTATAAGACACACATGTCCCATATGAGGAGGCATTTAAAGTTGGAAGTAGTGTCTCTCTTTCCCCACAAAGCAATGTGACCTGTGTGTCTTGGAAGCCATCTGAAGATAGATCAGATGCATCTCATCCTTGGTTTTCCTGAGTGAGCACTGGGAGAATGTGACTTGAGATTGTTTCCCGTAATGATTGTCACGAGGTCCACGTTGTTCTTCAGAGCCTCATGATTTTCTAGCTGGAAATCACATCATTAGGAAAGCTCCTCAGGATGTGTGGCTCACAATTAACTGAAGGTATTATCAGCAACAGGTCCTAATTTGGTTTTGTTTTCCAGGGCAAAGTCTGCCACTGATGGACACCGCCTACACCGTGCAAGAGCCCAGGTCACGTTACCTGCAGCAGTGGAAGAAAGGGAGCTGCTCCAGAAGCTTTACCATCTGCTGGAAGCCAAGGGGTTCCAGACACGGATGGAAGGAGTGGCGCTCCTCCTAGACCTGTCCAAAAGCAGACCCCAGCTGATCTCCACTAACATTGTCCAAGTATGTAGGATATTTTCATTGCTCCTTTCATTTAGCTCCTTTCCCAAGCCTGCAGAAGTAAAGTTAATTCAGTGTGTCTTGGCACTCCATCCTGGCTGTTTGGGACAGGCTGGCCCCTCTTATCCAGACAAATCAATTGAGCACCAGGCTTCAGGACAAGTTATTTCAGTCCAGCTGTATTTGTCTGGCAGGTGCCTATTGCTGCTGTTCATCAGATGACGGCAGAATTTTCTGCTGGTGTAACCTCTGCTGTCTCCTACTCCCAGTTGGGTTAAGTGAAGGGAATTAAGCCATTGAAAGCATGGCAATTATTCTCTAGAGAAAAAATGGGATTGCATGGGGAAGAGAACTATCAGGCTGGGTTGGTTTAAACAAATGTTTTTAAAAGGATACTTCTGTAAACTCCATCTTGTCTTGCACAGGTAAAACTCATTTCCATCCTCGTCCCTATTCCTCTTGGTAAAGATGGTGCTCACCCTTCTTGGGAGGCCTTTTTTTTCTCTTTGGAAAGGAAGAAAACAAATAAGGACAGATCCATCCTTTCTCCTCCCAGTAGCTGCTTTTTCCCTTTTTCCAGAAAAGTGTGCCTGTCATGTGGCTGTCAAGGGACTGAACCTGCTCAAATGAGAGCTGTACAGCACATTACATTTCACAAGTCCACCTGTTAGTCAGAGAAATGGTCTGGATGCTGGAAGAGTTGATCAGAGCCCTGCCCTTCTCCCGACACAGGTTCTGAGACAGACAAAATACA